GTGAGAATAAACACTGGGGGATAATAAAGTTCGGGGTTCAGGGAGAGATAATAAAAGTAGCCCAGCAGACCTCAGCATAATCTCGAAGTAAGAGATGATCAAGAGGAGACCAAGCCGAGCACGTTTTGAGACATCCTTGGCGTTTAGTTTTCATAGAAATATCCTCAATAATGGCTTATCTCGCTGGAGACATCCTCGACAAATCCCTTGTTTCGCTTGAGACATCCGCAAACTATTGCTTATTTCGCTTGAGGCACAGTCAAACTATTGCTTATTTCGCTTGAGACATCCTCGGAATAATTGGTGTTTTTCGCTTGTAACGTCCTCAAGCTATATAATAAAAAAGAAAAAATTTTAAAAAATAAGGACAATAAAATAATAGAAATGATAGGAGAAGGAGAAGGAGGAAAAGAAGAAAATATCTCGAGTTTCAAATATATTATATTTTATTTACAAACGCTTTATGAAAATTGTTTTTTTGTAAGTGCTCGTGTAGGGTAGCTCATGTGCCTCAATTTCCATGGATAATCAACCCCAGAAATAAAAAAGTTCAGGCGAGCGTGGGGACAGAGAGAAATATAAAAGAAGAAGACTACAGTATAATAATAAGAAAGAAGAAGAAGAGGATAATAAGAAGAGGACGAGGAAAAATATCCAAAGTTCCAAATCTATCAATTTTAACTTACAAGCGCTTTATGAACATTGTTGTTTTTAAGTGCTCGTGTAGGGTAGCTCATGTGCTTCATTTTCCATGGACAATCAACCCCAGGGATAAAAAAGTTCAGGCGAGCGTGAGGACAGATAGAAATATAAAACAAGAAGAGGAAAGTGTAATAATAATAAGAAGAGAAGAATAAGAGAATAATAAGAAGAGAAGAAGAACGGATAAATGGAAAGTTCCAAATCTATCAATTTTAATTTACAAACGCTTTATGAAAATTGTTTTTTTTTTTTTTAAAAAAAAAAAGTGCTCATGTAGGGTAGCTCATGTGCTCCCCTTTCCATGGATAATCAACCCCAGAGATAAAAAAAAGTTCAGGCGCGCGCGGGGATATATACATATATAAAAAGGAAGATAATAAACAATATAAATTAAAAAGAAACAACTTGCTGGTTTAGCTTGAAACATCCTTGAGACATCCTTGGAACATTGCTTGTTTCGTTTGAGTCTGCCTCCCAAAATTATTGGTTTCGCTTGACACATCCTGAAAAAGTGTGATCACTTGGCTTGATGTTGCTATATCAACATCGCTTGATGTTGCTATCTCAACATAGCGTTTCGAGGTGATAGTGAAGTTCGGCCTCAGCGCTCGCCGCCCAATTTGAATTTTGTATAGGGCGACGATAATCAACTCTAAACACTGAAGGGGGGGGGGTCCCTTTATTATCATCGGCATGCGGTTAGAGGATGAGGAGGAGGAGGAAGGCAGAGGAAGAAGAGGAGGGCCCGATCAAGTATATCACAACGTTCTCATCGTATCGTGCAAATTCACCCAGAATGGACCTAGGTGACAAACAAGCTTGCACGACCGCATCACTCAAAAATATGCCACTGCGGTAGAGGCGTTCTTGGGACTGGCACCGAGACCAAGCTCGTCAATCGAGAGCAAACTGATTATTTTATGGCACTTCAGACTGGGCTCAGCTGCGGCCGTGTGGTCGTCCAATCCCAGAATCCCGCCCACAGGGTAGCCTGCAAATTTCAGGTTGCGGACGAAAAAGTTCAGGTAGACGATGCCACTCTTAGTGTGGCCCTGGACCACTTTCAGCTCCACCTGGCCGTATCGCAGCCAACGCCGGGACTCCTTCTCAGCGACATGGCCGGCGCTGAAGGCGCGGCCCTGGGAGCCGACCCATCTTCCCGTCAGGTTCACCGACTGGAAGTACATGTCAGCGCACGCCGCGCCCATCTGCCGCGCCTCCGCATCGACGCTCAGCAAAGCGGCCCCGCGCTTGGCACCCCTGGGAACCCGCAACAACGTGTGCCATCCCTCCTTGCGGAGGTCGAACCTCTGCCCGAGCACGTTGGCGAGGTGAGGGTCCCCAGTCGCCTGCGCCGACCCACCGGCCGCACCGGCGCGCGGCGAGTCTGGCGTCGGGCTCGGCGTCGGGTTCGGCGTCGGGTCGGGCGTTGGGAAAGCCGTCGGGTAGGGAGTCGGGAAGGCCGTCGGGTGGGGCGTCGGGTATGGCGTCGGGTATGGCGTCGGGTATGGCGTCGGGTAGGGCGTCGGGTATGGCGTCGGGTAGGGCGTCGGGTAGCGCGTCGGGTATGGCGTCGGGTAGGGCGTCGGGTATGGCGTCGGGTATGGCGTCGGGTAGGGCGTCGGGGAGGCTGTTTTGACCGTCACGGTATGCGACCCAGTTGCTGTGAAAGTATGAATTTGGTAGCCATTCCTCGTTGTGACTGTGCCACCTTGGAGCAACTGGGTGGAACTCATGTACCTGATGATTACGATGCCGGACCCTCCATTGCCAGCCAAAGAAGATTCAGGATCCGTGCCGCCGCCACCACCGCCAGTGTTTGCCTGTCCGTGTCCGCCATTGAAATAAGCGCCGGAACCATAGCCAAGACTGCTGCCACTGCCGCCACCCCCGAGGCCGCCAGCCCCTCCTGGATAACTGGAACAATAACAGTTTGCGTTGACGCCACCGCCACCGCCTCCGCCGTAATACGTAGAGTAGCCTGAGATTGACGACGCCACTCCAACGCCACCATCTCCCCCGACATTCTTTCGGGGTGCGTTGCTCCCAACGCCGCCCGCACCGCCGCCGCCACCGCCTGCGCCGTATCCCCCCCTGTCGCTCCGCCCACCACGGTTGCCTTGTCCCGCGACCCCAGCCGCGTAGGCAACGTAAGGCAGATCCCAGGCGCCTCCACCGCCTGAGCCCCCGCTGTACGCAGTCCTGGAACTGCCCCCCGCACCCCGACCGCCGCCATATGCCCTCAGAGAGCCGATCGAAGAAGAACCTCCGCTCGTTGCCTCCGCAGAAGCCCCATACCCATGCCCCCCCGCACCCATCCGCTCCGCTACCGCCAGCGCCAACCGTGATGACTGCGCTGCCAAATATGACCAAGCCCGTCCCTCGGAGCACACCGCCGGCGCCGCCGCCCCCAGAAGCGCCGCCACCGCCGCCGCCGACAATCAGGTATTCCACTGTCAGAGTCGACTGCGCCGCCTGCTTCTCCCAGGTGGCATTTACGTAAGTGGCGATCGCCGCGGGAGGTTCGGCCTTGTCGAGGTGCAAGGCTGAAGGCTGCTGCGCAGCCTAGCAAGAGAAACAGCGCCGAGGTGCCCGACGGCTTCATGGCACCGAGACGGAGGGTTCTGTGAGATGCTGAAGCACGCAAACGTGCGCCACAAAAGGCTTCAGGTATACATAATAAATACGTACGGACACAAGAAGCCGCCATCCCACTCCAGAGATCCCGACAATCCCTCCTCCATCCTCCCTCCTCTCTAATCCCTCCTCCCTCCTCCCTCCCCCCTCCCCCCTCCTCCTCCTCCCTCCTCCCTCGTCCCTCGTCCCTCGTCCCTCGTCCCTCCTCCCTCCACCCTCCTCCCTCGTCCCTCGTCCCTCGTCCCTCGTCCCTCGTCCCTCGTCCCTCGTCCCTCCTCCCTCGTGCCTCGTGCCTCGTGCCTCGTGCCTCCTGCCTCCTCCCTCCTCCCTCCTGGAGCACATCCCTCCTCCTTCCTCCCTCCCCCCTCCTCCCTCCTCCCCCCCTCCCGGCTCCCTCCTCCCTCCTCCCTCCTAGCGCCTCCCTCCTCCTTCCTCCCTGCTCCCTCCTTCCGCCTCCCTTCCTCCCTTCTCCCGCTCCCCCACCCGTTCCCGCCAAAAACTTCGCACGTGTGTCACAAAAAGGCTCAAGGCATACATGATGGAGACGGACACAAGAAGCGGCCATCCCACTCCCACTCCAGAGATCCCGATCAATCCCTTAAGGGATGCTATATAATCCCTAAGGGATGCTATAGAATCCCTACGGGAAGGCTGCAAAATCCTTAAGGGATGCTATAGAATCCCTAAAGGATGCTGTAGGATACTGCAGGGATGCTATAGAATCCCTGAGGGCTGCTACAGAATCCCTAAGGGATGCTATAGAATCCCAAAGGGATGCAATGTAATCCTCAAGGGATGCTATGGGATCCCTAAGGGATGCTACAGAATCCCTAAGGGGAGGCAGCAAAAAACCCGAAGGAATGATACAGAAACCCGAAGGGGAGGCTGCAGAAACCCTACGGGGTGCTATAGAATCCCTAAGGGATGCTATAGAAACCCACAGGGATACTATAGAATCCCTAGCTGCTGCCATAGAGTCCCTCGGGGATACTATAGAATCCCTAGGAGGGCTGCCATAGAATCCCTTAGGGCTAATCCCTTAGGGCTGCCATAGAATCCCGAAGGGCTGCCATAGAATCCCTAAGGGATGCTATAGCAACCCTAAGGGATGTTATAGAATGCGCGAGGGAAGGCTGCCGAACCCCTAAGGGATGCTCTAGAATCCCTAAGGAATGCTATAGAATCCCTAAGGGATGCCATATCATCTTCGAGGGATGCGACATAACCCCTAAGGAGAGGCTGCGGAACACCTAAGGAATGCTATATAATCCCAAAAGGGATGCTGTATAATCAATGATGGAGGCTATAGAATCCTGATGGGATGTTATATAATCCTGAGAGGGATGCTGTAGAATCAAGGAGGGATGCTATAGAATCATCAAGGGGATGCTATATAATCTCTCAGGGATGTTCATAATCAATGAGGGAGGTTATATAATCCCTAAGAGGTGCCATAAAATCCCTGAGGGATGCTATAAAATCCTTGAAGGATGCTGTATCATCCGTCGAATCATTAAGGGGATGCTATAGAATCCTTAAGGGGATGCTATTGAATTCTTTAAAGGATGCTATAAGAGCCTTGAGGGATGCTACAGAGTCCCTGAGGGATGCGATAGAATCTTGGAGGGGTGCTACAAAATCCATAAAGGGCTGCTATTGAATCCCGAAGGGATACTATAGAATCCCCAAGGGATACTATAGATCCCTAAGGGATGCCATAGAATCCCCATGGGTCCCGGCGTGTTGCCCCGCGTCCCTCAGTGGCCTGCCACACAGGGGGGAGGCGCATGCCCAAATGGCTTGAACCACAAATGAAGAGAGGGAAAAGAGCGTGCCCACGTCAGCCGCAAGGCCACCAGAGCCACGGGAGTCAAATCCGCCGCCGTGCATCCTGTACGGCAGAGGCGCGTTAGAAGCTGGGCCGGCACGGGAACGAAAAGAGCTCCATGTGGGGCCAGGGCAACGATCCTCGATACACGTGTGCCGAAATGATGTTTCGGTGTGGCTCCGTGTGGGGCCAGGGCCACGATCCTCGAGAGGGGTGTGCCGAAATGAAGCTTCGGTGGGCCCCCTTGTGGGGACTGTGCCACGATCCTCGAAAGGGGTGTGCCGAAATGATGTGTCGGTGGAGTTCCCTGTGGGACCAGGGCGACGATCCTCGAGAGGGGTGTGCCGAAATGAACCTTCGGTGGAGATCCCTGTGCGGCCAGGGCCGCGATCCTCGAGAGGGGGTGTGCCGAAATGAAGCGCGGGTGGAGCTCCCTGTGGGGCCAGGGCCACGATCATCCTTGAGGGGCGTGCCGGCATGAAGCTTCGCGAGCAGAGCGCCACGAACTCCTCCAGCACCCTGCGGCACTGCGACTCCGTGTTGGGGCGCGCCGCCATGGTCTCCAGCGCGCTGCGCTGCCCCAGGGGCGGCCGCTCGGCCAGCAGGCGCCTGGCGAGGGCCGCGCAGCGCTCCCGCGCCTCCGATGCCGCCAGCGCCGGGCGCCGCGCGGGCCTCCACAAGTCCCGCGGCTGCCCGGCCGCCAGCCGCCGCCGCGCCAGCATGCGGGGCGGCCTGCCGCGGGGGCCGAGGGCGGCCGGCAGAGTCTGAAAACCAGGAGCGCCGCCCTCGAGACAGAGCGTCGGCGGGGTTGCGTTCTGACGGAATCCATATGCAGTGCAATCTCGTTCCCGTTGCAAGTGACATCATACATATGTTCAGAAGCGGGAGGCGCAAATAGGTAGAGGCCGCTCTCCCCTTCGCCACGGCTAGACACAATGGCATGTTATCCACGAGGGCGAGCACGAGCTTCCCACGACATGCCGAGGATCTCAAAAGGTGCTTATGGGCAACAACCAAGGCGTCGGCCTCCAGACCCAAGATGCCCCGGCCCTCCTGGACCTGCGCGGCCACTACTCCTCGCCAAGATTTCGCGTCCAGTAAACCAGCTGGGACCTCGTCGAAGTCCTTCGACCTCTTGCCCAAGCCCAAAATCAGCGGTTCCTCCGAGACGCCGAACGTGCCGAGGTCATGGAAGGGGTCCTCCACGGGGCTCGTCGGGCTCTGGGAGATCTCCAAGGGCTCCTTCGTGGCCACGCTGAAGTGCGGGGCGTCGTCCAGCGTGCCTGGCGACGCCGTCGTAGGTATGGCCCTCAAAGCTCCATTCAGCGGATCGCCAGGCTGCAAGAGAGCGGATGTACGAAAATAATGGTTATTCTGCATGGGCGACGATTCGGCGATGCAAGCGGGCGCAGAAGGAGGGAGGAGGGCTCTGTCTCTGGCGCGCGCCCCTCCCTCGACTTTGCATCGCCGCCGCTCGCGCTGACGCCCGCAGCGGGCGATGAGGTCACTCGGAGCCTGCCGGCGGCGCACCCCGAGACCCTCTTCACTCGCGTCGCTGGCCACCGGCCGCGATGCCCAAGGCGCCGCCAGGTCGGCGACCAGCAACGGCAGCAGACAGAGGGCGCGCCACAGCTCCGCGCGGACCGCGGGCCGCAGCGACTGCACCTCCGCGCCCGCGGCTGCCGTGAAGGCGTAGGTGGCGCTGAGAATCCCGAGCGCCTCGCGCCTCGCCATCGAGGCCCAGGTCAGGTGGCCGACCACGACGCGCACCAGGTGGCCCGATGCGCGCCCGCGCCGCAGCAGCTCCTCGATGGCGAACCTGAGCCGCCAGACGGACCGCCCCTTGACGGCGAGCCAGCGACCGCGCCGCAGCTCCATGCCCAAGAAACTGCAGGACTCCGCAGCCCGCTCAGGCGCGTGGACGCGCAGGCCAGCAGCCCCCAGTGCTCCAGCGATGCGGTCCAGGGCCTGGTCGACGCGCCCCTCGTCCGCACCGACCGGCAGATAGTTGTCGACGTACCCGGCGGCGGCGGGCTCAGCTTCAAGCCCCAAGACGACGCCCGGGAGCCCGTCCTCGATGATGGGCTGGGCAGGCACCCCTGCGCGCGCCACGGCCGTCCTCAGGGCCAGCTGGCACATGTGGGGCGCCCAAGAGAAACCCATGAGTGGCACGACGAGGCACGCCTGCAGCCAGCCCCCGCTGGGCAGCCCTGATTATAGTCCCAACTACCGTGGGCGCCCCCTGAATTCACAGGCGCGGAGGCGCATGTGTTCGAGCGCTGCCTAGCCCGCGGGGGGGATTCGTGCCAGAAAATGCCGAAAGGCGCTCAGTGTCAGCGCAGCAAGGTCATCATTGCTGTGTAATTGGCGGATTCGTCTGCACAGAATTGTTCACGTGAAAAGCATGTTTTCAGCTGTGTCTTTGAGCGTGAAATTCCCGAGCGCGCGCATGCGCCCCTGCAAGTAGCGCGGGCAACTTGGCGGCAGACCCCTATGATTGCAAAAACGACGCGTCGTTTGGAGCCGCTCGCATGGGGGGGGGCTTGCTGCAAACGAAAAAAACAATTGTGAACGCGCGCGCCACTCTTGAATTGCGTTTAAGGGAGGGGCGATTGGTTTCGTCTTGTGGCGGGCAAAAGGCGCCCCGTGCATTTGAGTCCGGCGTGCTCGACAGGAAGAATCCAAGCGAGGCGCTTCTACCCGTCTGAAAAAAGCCCAGGCTCGCGAAGCATGCCTTTGTACATCGACGAAGCTTGGGTCGCGAGCTAAGCGGCCCCTCAAGAGCCCTGAGTGGCAACATTTAGCGTAATCGTGGAATTCACGTGGTCACCCCCGCCTTACCTAGCGGTTAACGAAGGTTGTTTTGGAAGTTGTGTCGCGCGTACGGTTTTTGACCGCGGGGTAACGAATGTGCGCTGTAAGTTCGCTGTTAGATTTGACGCGCGGGGGCGTCGTGTGCAATTGCGTGTTTTGCATTGGAAACCGGAGAATGCGCTGTTGCTGTTGCTGTTGGTGCGTGTTTTGCGCCGTTGTTGTTGGCGTGCGTTGCGTGAAGGTGGGACGCGCGCCGTCTGATTTTACGTTCTCATCCCAAGAACCCCTGGGCGGGCGGAACGGCGCAGCCCCAAGCAAATCGCCTGCACAATTCGACGTTCGAGCACAAACGCACGTGACACAATGCCTCATGACATAAGCCATCGCAGAAAACGATTCAACTCCAATGATCACAAGCAGCTATCGCTCGAACACCACGTCCGACGCCCAGGGCTTTAAGTCTGTGTTGTTTCTTTCCCGTTTCTCTGCGCTCGTTAGCTATCGCTCAAGCTTGGAGCAACGCGCGGCGCACGCGGCCAAAAATGGACTGGACATCGCAACTGCCGCGCGCCAGCCCCCTTGGAAGCAGAAGTGAGAAAGGGCGGGGGCGGGAGGGCCAGGGGCCCCTCCTGGGCCCCCCGCGGGGTCCAAGAAGGCCCCAAGACGGCCCCAAGAGGAACCCAGGACGGCTCCGAGAGGGCCCCGAAAGGGCCCCTTGCTATCCGGAGAAAAAAAACGAAACCCTGGAGCCCAGGATCCCGACTCAGAAATTTCCAGCCGTCTTCGAGTTTTTTCTTCCGGCTCAAATTTCAAGCTATCCGAAAAAAGAAACTCTGGAACCCAGGATCCCGACTCAGAAATTTCACGCCGTCTTCGAATTCCCTCCCGGCTCATATTTCAAGCTATCAAAAAAAGGGAACCCTGGAGCCCAGGATCCCGACTCAGAAATTTCAAGCCGTCAAGGGCCTCTTCGAATTCCCTCCCGGCTCAGGTTTCAAGCTATCCGAAAAAAGAAAACCTTGGAGCCCAGGATCCCGAACCCCCGACGGCGACCCCCAACGCGCGCCGGGGGTCACCGTCGGGCCGCCAGAGGGGAAAATAGCTTGCATGTTTTTGACGTGCGCGGAGGAGGAGGAGGAGGAGGGAGAAATGGGCGACGGGTCGGAGGAGGTCTGGATGAATAAAAAAGAGATTATCAAGAGGCATAGGTACCAAGGAGAACGCATGCCGCGCGGGCCTCAACCCAGCAAGACAGCCTCGCACCGCCGCCAACTCGCGTAGTTGATTAGCTTCTGCTCGACAACCTGGGCCCGAGAACTGGGGGGCTCAACCCAGCGAGACAGCCTCGCGCCGCCTTCAAGCTCGCGTAGGTTATCAGCTTCTTCTGGACCGGACCTTGGCCCGAGACCTGGGGGCCCTGACTGGCGAGATCGGTCGGGCGCCTCGCGGTGACTTTCGCGTTCGGCTCGCCTCCGAGCATCGACCACTGGAGCCCGTGGCTGCCCGACGCGCCAGAGCTCACCAGCACGGCGAACCTCGGCGGGGTCATGCACAACGACCCGGACACGCCCTTGTAGGCGAAGCCATGATCGAGGATCGATTTCTCAAGGGCGCCCACGCCCATGTCGAAGAAGTGCTTCTCCTTCTGCTCGAGGGTGTCAGTCCAAGTCCACGCCGATGATCGCCTCCGATCCCTCGAGAAGCACGCGCACGTCGACGACAAAGTTCGTCGGCCCGACCGAGGCGCAGTGGACGTCGGCGTTGCACTGCATGGAAGAACCTCATCCTGAAGAGCTCGTCGACTTTCGGGTCCCCCGTCGACGGCGTGATAGGCTCGGCCCCCGGCGCTACCTTCTTGAGCAGGCCTGTGACCGTCGTGCAGACCGACGCCTTCGCGATGATGGCATCGGCGTGCGTCTGCTTGGCCTTCTTCGTAGAGGCTTGCACCCACGTCTTCTGCGCCTCGTAATAGTCCAGCGCGCAGATATCCTTGCGAACGCCCTTCAGGCGCTCGGCCGAAATCAAAACTGCTGGCGGCCTCTCCGACTCGAAGGCGTCGTTCAAGTTCCACTTCAAATTCGCACCGAAAACCTCATCCTTGAGAGAACGCACGGCGGTGTACAGGTCGCAGCCGACACCGAAATCATCTCCACCTGCGTTCACAAGCTCATTGTTGAGAGCGCTCTGCTTCGCCTGCGCCCTCGCGCCCTGCGCGGCCCTCTTGGCGATCTCGTTCTTGTACTTGTTCAGCTCGTGGATCTTCTCCTTCACGTCCTTGATCTGTTGCTTCTTGCAGGCGGCCTTCACCGCCTCCTTCAGGCCCTTCCCATTCTCCATGCAGCTCTCCGCAGTCAAGCCTTCCTTTTTCAGCAAGTCGGCGAAGTGCTGGATCACCTCCGCGTGGTAGAGTTTGACGAGGCCAAGTTTGGCCTCGCAAGCTGCGATCTTCTCCTTAACACCCGTCTGGAGCGACTCGTTGCCAGAGTCTGCGGCCAACTGCGTGGCGGCAGTCTCGATCGTCTTGGTGTCCTTGGACCAGTCGAGGCGGCTCGCCTGGAACTCGGTCTCGGCGGCCTTCAGCTGGGTCTTGTAGGTATCGATTTCGAGGTCCGAGCTGAGGGAGGCCCGGCTCTTCTTGCCCTCGGCTCGCCTCTTCCGCGCGTCAGCTTGCAGCTTTGCAGCGGCGGCCTCGTCGGCGAGGTAGTCCTCCTGCCCCTCCTGCGCGGCCTTCTTCTCCTCGATCTCCCTCAAGATCGCATTATTCATCACGTCCTGCGCCTTCACGTTGTCCATCGACAAGCAATGCTCCACCTCGGCGTGTGAAATGCGCGAGCCCCGAATCTCGCGGTCTTGGTGGCTCGTGGCCAAATGGCGGTTGAAACGCTGGTGCGAGGACGCCGCGTCGGCCTGAAAAGTCTGCAGGTACGCGAGGCTCTGAATCCCCTTCGACTGGGTGACGCTCGTGCCCATCGAGTCCGCGTTGATCTTGTTCACCTGGGCGCCCACGAACTTGCCGAGCAAGATCTGGCCACGCCGCTCCAGGGCGATCGCGCCTGGCTTCTTGCACTCGGCATCGTAGCCAGTTCGGTCTTGTACCGGCCGAGAAGCATTTGAGGAACCGCCCACTGCTCGAAGGTCTCGAAATGGTCTCCCTCTTTGCTCTGCTGGGCTGTCGGGTGCGTCTGAGTTGTCGATGCCGATGCCTCTGCCCAGTCGCGCTTCTTGTGGCGGCCACTCGCCAATGCCTTGCTCTTCTGTTCAATGTGCCAGGCCTTCCTCTCGTCGTCGCCCATCTTGGCGAGGCGATCCTTCAAAGCCTTCATTTCGATCTGCTTTTTTCTTTTGATCCTCAGGCAGGCCGTCGATGCTCTCCCCCTTCTTCGTCTTGACGGCTCGGATCAACGACTTGTCAGTATTGGAACAGATCTTGCAATTCCTCTTCAGTGGATTATTGCCCCCCGTCGGAGTGCTGTCGGAGAAGCTGACGCTCTCGCCGCATTTCGTGCACGCCACTTGGTAACCGCCGCCCCCTCCAGGAGTCGAAAAGGCTCCGATCGGTGTGCCAGGGCGCTGCTGACAAACGGGCGTCTATGAGATGCTGCGCCCATCTGGCGCCGGACATCCTTCGCTTGACTTGGCAGGGGACGGAAGGGCCATCGCTAATGCGAGCAGCAATCTGTATGTGACAACGCGGAAACGAAAGGGGCAATCGCTCTGCCGACTCCCTGCAACAGGGCCAAAGTAGGCGATGGTCAGAATGTTGGAGGAGAGGACATGTGCAAACATGACACTTCTTCGGACCCCTAAGTGTGTGCCTGTTGATATGATACGATCGGTTGCTTAGCTACATATGGTGGGGAACGTGAGGGAGCCAAAAGAGGAACTACGAAGTCCGCCCCCCCCCCCCCCCCTTTTTGAAAGGGCCCTTTGAAACATCATGTCGCTTCAGTAGCGTACAGTCTGCCAAAAACCCGAGGGCTTTTTTCCCTCGCATTTGATACATCAAGTCATTTCACATTCAAACTCCCCGCGGACGCACTGACATGATATGAAATGATATGATATGTTATGAGATGATCTGATGCGATATGATATGATCTCATGTTGAGTTGACATACATATATGTATATACATGAGGCCTTTCTAAGCAATGATGATGACTCTCTCAGTCGCAAAGATGGTAACCACGATAGTCGTTCGCTGGTTTCCACGCGTGCATTCTCAAGAAAAGTTAGGCGCTGCCACTGTTGGCCGCATCGCTCATGCGAGCGATGTCCTGAGCCGTCGCTGAACGGCGAGTGCCGTCGAGGAATCCTTTCTCGGGCATCATTTCTACAATCGGAAACATCACGCGAGCCACCATATCCGCGGGGTACGCATTCCCTGTCACTCCTACGGCTTAAGCCCATGGTAGAAGAACATGAAGACGTTGAGGCAGGATACCCTTGGGCGCGGAATCGCTCGTTTATATGCACCAGGCGAAACAACTCACGCTTGTCGATTGGCTCATGGATGCCATGCGCCGACGCGAAAAATATCATAGGTCCTCCTGTTCTAAAAGAGGGCAGGCGATCGTACATCAGCTTCCCAGTGAAACCTGCCAGTGATTTGCGGGGGGAGCGCTCGACGTCGAAGACGGCGACGCGCCCTGCGCGACCGGCGGCCACGTCCTTTTTGATCATCGAAACATAGTGCTCAAGATTCTCCCTCCTGTTGAACGCCAAATCAGACGGCTGGATGTTCGACAAACCCTTCATTATGACATCATCCAAAGACCGCGGACACCCGAGGCGAAGAAGCGGAGGTGGACTTGGCCGAATGGCGCCCTGGGCGTTCGCGAGGACGTCCACCCGAAAACCTCGCAACCAAACCCGCCCCCTATGAAGGCATGAGTTGCCTGGGCCAACGATTGACAAAGAATGCTTGAAAAATGGCACGCTCCCCGACAGCCTCTCAAGCACAGTGGAAGCAAAAGATGTGCCCCCAGTCCCAATCGACATGATCTCTGGGCTGTTCTCTATCAGCTATGCTTTGAGGCACCCCCTGCGTGATAGGTATTCGATCCATTCTACAACGCGCAAATAGCAGGCTGATCGTTCGTCGCCCTGGCCAAGACGCTTGCCGCTTTTCGCCCATGGTTGGCAAGGTGGACCACAGCATATGATATCAACATCCTGAAGATCAGACGTATCCCAATGGTTCATGTCTCCCATCGCCCCATAACACGCGCATGGGTCTTGATCTAGACCGGCAAGCTCTCCCCGTTTCTGATTGAACGCTTCCAGGTTCTTATCCGTGTCGCAAGTGTTTCTGAGTCGAGCCTCGACGCCCCCCATTGTCAGCGAATTGAAGGCACCACCACCTATGCCGAAAAATGGTTCGGACAAATAGATAATTGGACGCTCACTCAGGCGCCGGATTGCCCTGCTCGCGTTCGCCAGACCATCCACCACCGGCGATGGTTCGTTCATCCCTGAGACGAAGTGCAAACCAAACGTGCCTGAAAATGGCTATGAAACGCTACGGAGTCAGAAAAACTAATAGCGGGCATGTGTGCAATCAAGAATCGAATCGGCAACCAGACGCATGATCCTGGCGAGCGTGACCAAACACAATTTATCTTGCATAATACTACACGAAGGCGGCTTTGGACTTACCAACACGAGGACATGCCAATGAACAGTGAAACACCTGCCCCCCCTTATGGTTTTGGCCGAAATGGGTCTGCATTGGCAGCCGGGCATCGGTGGGCGCATTGGATGGGCGCCCCATCGGTGTCCAAAGGCTTCGGCCCTAGCGCCGACTGGGGGGGGGCGCTGGCGGGGCCCCCGCAGGACCTGGCGGGGCACTGGCGGGGCACTGGCGGGACACTGGCGGGGCACTGGCGGGGCACTGGCGGGACACTGGCGGGGCACTGGCGGGGCGCTGGCGGGACACTGGCGGGACACTGGCGGGGCACTGGCGGGGCACTGACGGGACACTGGCGGGGCGCTGGCGGGGCGCTGGCGGGGCAGCGGTGGTGCGCCCAGGGGGGGGCAAGCAAACGCAATTGAAAACGCGCGTTGGGGGACGGGCGAACGCGATCTCACAGCGCGAACGGCCCCTGGCTTGCTCTGGCCGAAATGATCCGACGAGCAGCGACGACGGTGACGCGAGCAAGGGAAAAGAAAGAGCGGGCACGAGGGCGAAGGGGCAGAGGCGATTATGCATATGATAAGGTGCCGCGCCTCTACTGTTTCGCACGCGCTGCTATCTTGCCCGTCTGGGGCCCTCTCGTCGCCTGAGACAGGGGGCCCAACCGCGCCCCATGAGCATGCAGGGCGCGCGAGCCAGCGCTCGCAAGTGAAAAAGGTCAGCCATCTTAGGGCGTCTCGGAGCGAAACTGTTCGTTTTCAGGGCACCTCAAAACGAACGCTCCCTACAGCACGGCCCCGTAGGAATCCCATGGGATGCCTGTTCGAGTCCTACAGGATTCGCATAGGCCCAAAGGATTCCCATCGGATTCATATAAGGTTCCCATAGGAACCATGCCGTATAGGATTCCTAACAGATTCCAATTGGATCCCTATGGGATCCGTAGAGGCCCTCTAGGACTCCCATCGAAATCCTATAGGATCCTTATAAGATTCGCAGGGGCCCTCTAGGATTCCTCTGGAATTCCCAAAAAGGATTCCGATAGGCTTCGTAGAGGCCCTATAGGATTCCCAGAAAGGATCCCTATAAGATCCGCATATGATTCGCAAGGATGCCCTAAGTGGAAAATTTACTGCGCTTTTGGCGCGGATCGGCCAGCTTTGGGCGCGGATCGGCCAGGGGCCAGCAGTGTTCACCCGCGCGTGGAAGCCGCGCCGCGCTTCTTCTTCACCTCCGCGCACGTTTTGTGCAACGACATGAAGTGGTTCTTCGCTACCTCCTTCGCCTTGCGCGATTGGAGCAGGACGCGCGCCGCGCCTTCAGGCCCGCCTTCTTCACGGGCTGGCGGCCGGCCTTCAAGTCGGCGAGGTCCATTGCGGTCCGGGCGCGCGGCCTTGCACGCCGCGACCAGCTTCCCCTTCGCCACGGCCCGCGACCATTCGTGCTGGTCCACCTTCTTCCACTTGTGGTGCATCACCAAACCGAACCCCCCTGGCCCGATGCCGCCCCACATGGGGACAGCCCTGCTGTACGGCACCTGCTTGTTGTACATGCCACCGCCCGTGAGCTCTGGCTTCGTCGCCTCGTTCGCCTTCCGCCAGATGTGCTTCTCGCCGACGTGGCAGTAGTTCCCCCTCTCGGTGGGGTCGTCCGGGGGCAGGGTCAACGCGACGCCGTCCATGGCCATGGTCACGCGGGCAGCGTACTCCCTCTTGGTCATCGCCAGGACCTGCTCCGCGAACGCCAGGCGCAACTCCTTATCTTCCGTGCTGTACTTCGGCTTCTGGCATCGCGGCAGCCAATGGTAACCTTTGCTCTGCAGTGCCCTCCGAATGGTGGACGCCTCAAGGTTCACGTTCTTCTCTTTGAACAGCTCCCGCTGCAGAGTGGTGGAAGTGCAAATGAGCTTCGTCCGAAGAGCCAGCGTCTTGCTCACGAGGAACTTCTTGACCTCGGGGGTGACTTTCCACGTCTTCCTGCCGCACTTCGCATACTGGTACTTCCTGCGGCCAGCAGACTTCCAGAACTCCCCGTACACGCGCCGGCACTGCCTCTGCGACGGGCGAACGCTCTTGCCCCTCAACGCATGGCACAACGCAGCAATCTCGGACCATGGAAGCCCCTGGGTGTCACGGAGCATGACGCACTTCTTCTGGTTGGCGAAATCCATCGAGCCCGGGTGAACCATCTCCGAGACCACCGGCATCGCTTGGCCCACTCGCGGCGGCTTGGCAAGGCGAGAGAGGCGCGCGCGTGCGAAAATGGCGCCTCGAGCCCAAGCGGCAACGGAAAGGCGTGCTCTGGCGGGCAATCTCAACGCCACAACTTCCATGATCACCGCGACGTAGGAGGCATCGCTCTTCGGTCTCCCCACGGGGCGCCGCGAGTGCGCATGGCTGGGGGGCATCCATTTTTTGGGGCGGCCCTTCATGCGAATGTTCTGACCTTTCCAGCGAAGCGCTCGCCGCGCGGGGCGCGCGCCTCTCCTCGAGAGACCGCGGCCGCCGCGAGGCGGCCACTGTGTCCTCTCGGCCCCTGGGGGGCCTGGGCGAGGCGCAAGCGCGTCGTCGCGCGCGCGCGCGGCGCAGCCGCGCAGATAACTGTCGAGCGGCGGGGGCGGCGAAGCCACAACTATTGATTTCTTATAGATTGCGTTTTGCTTTTAGCGAGGGGCGCCGGCGGAATGCGAAAGCGCGCATGATATTGTTTTCCTTCTCGTAGGATCTCTAGCAGGCGGGCTAAGCCAGGCGGCAGCGTTTCTCTACCGTTTTGGCACAGCGTGAGAACGGGTTCGGGAGCTTGCGGTTCCGGGGCAGCCGGCTGGCGTCGAAGTACGCCTCGCCTCTCGGTAGCCGCACGACCACTGTGTTTTTCACAAGCCATTTGGAATGGCCTGGGTTCCCTGGGTCCATCAGGGCGCCGTCGGGCGCGTCGAGGTCGACCGTGGCGGCGATGGCCGTGGAGAACAAGTACTGGGTGTACGAGTACATGCCCGTCGCCGACTGCCCGCCCTTGCTCTTCGCATTCCGCCCTTGCAGCACGGCGCGCCACCTCCTGAGCTGGGCGAAACTGTTCACGCTGTCCAGCACGATTCCATCGTGCTTCTCCCAATCGAACCCTCGCAGGTCCAAGTGATCTGCCTCTTCTACCGTGACTGTGTAAGGCTGCTCGAACAAGTCCTCCGCGAACGTGGATTTCCCGGACGCGCTGTCCGCCCACAGAACGAGGATTTTCCATCTGAACTCCAGCTGCAAGAAGCTGTCCTCCCACTCCCGGACGGCCCTTCAGCGGAACTCGCGGGGCGGCGCCTTCAGCTTCTGGAGCTCCGCGCCCACCTGCGCGACCCGCTTGTCCACCCGACTCTCCCGCTCGTCCTCCATCACCTGTTCGACCTCGCGCTTCCTGGCAGAGTAACCGAGCCGGACTCGCAAGGCCAGCGCCTTGTACTCCTGGTGCGGCAACTTCCCGTCATGCCACAGGTCGTCAAGCCACTCCCCTTGCACCCGGTACTCCTGAAAAGGCCGGTAGTTGGTGCCCGAATAAAGGGTGCCGGCTTTCGGGGCCCAGGCGTAGAAGTGGCCCCTGTCGGTGGTTTCCTTGAAGTTTGCGCCCCGGGCTCTTTTCGTCAGCTGCAGGCCCGGCGCCGCGGCGGGCACCGACGTCGCCTGCACGTCCGGCAGCACTCCGCGAAAGCCGAAAACGGCGCGGGTCCTGTTGTCGAGTGCATATTTTAAGTTCACCTTCCAATGAAAGTGTACCCTGCCGTCAAGCTTGCTGTGGAGGGAGCGCTCCAGGGTCGAAGAGCTCTTCTCTACATGCAGTTCCTGTTTCTTGTCCGCCTTCCACTCCCTCCATGCGCGCCACAAGGCCGCCGGAGTAGTTGCTGCGGGGGAACCGTCAGGAAACCTCTTGCCAAAGAAGTCGTGGTTGTACGTCAGGAGGAAGCTGCGACCGCGCAGCCTAAAAGAGTCACCGTTGCTAGGTGCGCCCGGGCGCGGAAGCCCCATCTTCAGCGGGGCCAACGTCCTCGTATGTCGACTTGTAGGCGGCCCAGGCTTTGGCAGAGTCTGCCTTCACCTTGTCAGGCGCCCCCGATGCAGCAACGGTTTCGGCCATCGTCTGCACTTTTGCGCGGGCTGCGCCGTCGGGGACCACAAAGACCCCTGCTGTCTTTGCCAAGGCCCGGAAAATTTTCACATGCTGCCGCCGGAGGTTCCTCAGCTCGGCAGCCGACGGCATGGTTTGGGCCAGTATGTCAACTGAACGCATGATGGAAAGACGACGTGGTCGACGAGGTCTTCTCTGCAAGTCAGGGGTATGAATTGTCCATATAATTTTCAAGGGATGCGACATAACCCCTAAGGAGAGGCTGCGGAACACCTGAGGAATGCTATATAATCTCAAAAGGGATGCTGTATAATCAATGATGGAGGCTATCGAATCCTGATGGGTTGTTATATAATATTGAGAGGGATGCTGTAGAATCAATGAGGGATGCTATAGAATCCTCAAGGGGATGCTATATAATCTCTAAGGGATGATGTATAATCAATGAGGGAGGCCATATAATCCATAAGAGGTGCAATAAAATCCCTGAGGGATGCTATAAAATCCTTGAAGGATGCTGTATCATCCGTCGAATCCTTAAGGGGATGCTATAGAATCCTTAAGGGGATGCTATTGAATTCTTTAAAGGATGCTATAGGAGCCTTGAGGGATGCTACAGGAATCCCTGAGGGATGCGATAGAATCTTGGAGGGATGCTACAGAATCCATAAAAAGGCTGCTATTGAATCCCGAAGGGATACTATAGAATCCCCAAGGGATACTATAGATCCCGAAAGGATGCCATCGAATCCCCATGGGTCCCGGCGTGTTGCCCCGCGTCCCTCAGTGGCCTGCCACACAGGGGGGAGGCGCATGCCCAAATGGCTTGAACCACAAATGAAGAGAGGGAAAAGAGCGTGCCCACGTCAGCCGCAAGGCCACCAGAGCCACGGGAGTCAAATCCGCCGCCGTGCATCCTGTACGGCAGAGGCGCGTTAGAAGCTGGGCCGGCACGGGAACGAAAAGAGCTCCATGTGGGGCCAGGGCAACGATCCTCGATACACGTGTGCCGGAATGATGTTTCGGTGTGGCTCCGTGCGGGGCCAGGGCCACGATCCTCGAGAGGGGTGTGCCGAAATGAAGCTTCGGTGGGCCCCCTTGTGGGGACTGTGCCACGATCCTCGAAACGGGTGTGCCGAAATGATGTGTCGGTGGAGTTCCCTGTGGGACCAGGGCGACGATCCTCGAGAGGGGTGTGCCGAAATGAACCTTCGGTGGAGATCCCTGTGCGGCCAGGGCCGCGATCCTCGAGAGGGGGTGTGCCGAAATGAAGCGTGGGTGGAGCTCCCTGTGGGGCCAGGGCCACGATCATCCTTGAGGGGCGTGCCGGCATGAAGCTTCGGAGAAACCTTCTGTGAGGCCGCGGCCACGATCCTCGAAAACGGTGTGCCGAAATGAAACTTCGGAGGAGCTCTCTCTGGGACCAGGGCCACGATCCTCGAGAGGGGTGTGCCGAAATTAAGCTTCGGAGGAGCTCCCTGTGAGGCCAGGGGCCCTATGGGATTCCTATCAGATTCCTAGAAATGACTCCCATAGAATTCGTAAAAACCCTATAGGCTTCCCGTGGGATTCCTCTAGGACTCGTAGACAGGCCGTATAATTCCTATAAGACTCCTATCGGATTCCTACAAGATTCGGAGAGGCCCTATTGGAATTCTCATAGGATTCCTACAGGATTCCTATGGGATTCGTAGAGGCCCTGTCGGATTCCTATAAGATTCCGAAGAGGATTCGTGCAGGTCCTCTAGGATACTTTTCAAAAGCGTATAGAAGTCCTATAGGATTCGTACAGGCCCTACAGGATTTCTATGGGAGTCCTATAGGATATGTAAACTCCCTCTGGGATTCCTATCAGATTCCTATAGGAGTCCTATAGGGTTCGTAAACGCCCTATATGACACCGATGAGACTCCTATAGGAATCCGATAAGATTCGCAGAGGCCCTATCGGATTCCCACAGGTTTGCTATAGGATTCTATGGCACTCGTAGACAGGCCTTAAAGGAATATTATGAGATGCCTATGGGATTCCTATCGGAATCGTAGAGGCCCTATAAGCTTCCCATGGCATTCCTATAGGAATCCTAAAAGCCCTATAGGAATCCCATGGGATTCTTGTTGGACTCCTACAGGATTCGTAGGAGGCCCTATAGGATTCACATCGGATTCATATAGGGTTCCCATCGGACTCATGCCGTATAGGATTCCTATAAGATTCAAATTGGATCCCTATAGGATCCGTAGAGGCTCTCTAGGACTCCCATCGAAATCCTGTAGGATCCTTATAGGATTCGTAATGAGGCCCTCCAGGATTCCTCTGGGATTCCTAAAGAATTCCGATAGGCTTCGTAGAGGCCCTATGAGATTCCCAAGAAGGATCCCTATAAAATCCGTAAATGATTCGTAAGGAGGCCTTATAGGATTGCCAAAGAATCCCTATGGGATTCCCATAGGACTCCTAAAAGCCCTATAGGATTCCAATGGGATTCCCATCGGAATCCTACAAAGGCCTTATAGGTATCCTGCAGGCTTCCTAAAAAGGATTCCTATCGGATTTGTGAAGGCCCTATAAGATTCTCATCGGATTCCGATGGGATTCCCATCTGATTCGTAAAGGCCCTATCGGATTCCTATAAGATTCCCATGGGATTCCCATAGGATTCGTAGAGGCCCTATAAGATTCCTGTGCAGAGACCCTATAAGATTCCCAAGAGGAATCCCATAGGATTCGGGGTAACGTGCGTTGCGTTGCGTTGCGTTGCGCCGGGGGGGGGCGGGCGCCAGTGAGTGGTTTCGTCAACAACAACAACAACACCAACAACAACAACAACTGATCCCGCCAGATACTCGCAAGTTAGCCCAAAATCGCGAGCTCGCTCGAGACTTTCCGACACTTTACTCAGGAATCGCGCTCTCGCCCAGGACTTCCTTGCAATTTCCTAAGGCGCCGCGCCCTCAACGCCAAGGAGATGCGCTCTCGCATGAGACTTCCTCGCAACTTACTTAGGCCCTGTGCTCTCGCCAAAGAGTTTGTGCAATCTCACGAGGTTCGCATCAAGGCCCTGCCCACCCGAGCCGCCCATCAGGGCCCGCCCGCCAGACCGTCACCCCGCCGACTCACACGTATGACCCATCGGGGCCAATCCGGAACGTCTGGGGCGCGCCGAACAATCCAGGGGGGTCGGACTTCGCGTCGACTTCGAGGGATTCGAGCACGGTGGTTACCCTATCTCAAGCTTCGGACGAGGACCTTATTCTCAGCCACAGGGAGCTTCCCTGCTCCCTGCTCGCTGTTACCTGCTACATCCTCCCTCCTCCCTCCCTCCTCCTCCCTCCCTCCTCCTTGCTCCCTGTTCCCTCCTCCCTCCTCCCTCCTCCCTCCTTGTTCCTCTTTCCTCCCCCCTCCCTCCTCCCGCCTCCCTCCTCCCTCCTCCCACCTCCCTGTTCCCTGTTCAATATTCCATCCTCTCTCCTCCCTCCTCTCACCTCCCTCCTCCCTCCTCCCTCTTCCTTCCTCCCTCCGCCCGCCTCCCTCCGCCCTCCGCCCTCCGCCCTCCCCCCTCCGCCCTCCTCCCTCCTCCCTCCTCCCTCCTCCCTCCTCCCCCCTCCCTCCTCCTTCTCCCTCCCCCTCCCTCCCCCCCCTCCCTCCCTCCTCCTCCCCGCCCCACTCCCTCCCTCCCTCCTCCCTCCTCCTCCCTCCCTCCCTCCCATCCCTCCTCTGTGCTCCCTCCTCCACTCTCCGTCCCGCCTCACTGTTCCATGCTCCCTCCTCCCTCCTCCCTCTTCCCGGTTCCCTGTTCCCTCCCCCCTCCCCCATCCACAATGACTCAGTCTGAATACTACTCTCCTCTCTCTCCTGATGACGTCTGGAAGTTGTCCCGCCCCCCTCCGCGTACTGATTTCTTATACACAGGATCCCCAGGAGTTGGTACAACATGTTGCTCCCGCTAAAGCGCTGGCCCCATCTCTGCGCCTCTGGTTGTTCCAAAGTGTGCCCCCGCTGCAGCGCGGGCGTTTTCGGCCCTTCGAAATAGGCCCCAAAATCAAACATATGCCCCCCGAAAAAAAGCCATCGGAAGTGATTACACATTCGGTGTCGATTCGTTGATTTGTTGGGCCGCAGAAGCCCCCCCCCACTTTGTGTCGTCGTCGATGTCAGGATGTATCAAGCGGGAGCTCCGTTTCTACTTTGGAGGCGCATGGTCAGCGGGTGCTCTCCATCAGCCCCGCCTCGCGTGGAGCCAAAGAGCTAGACATGGAGCCAGGATTCCAGACCAGCCCAGACCTCTCGTCGCGCGTCTCTTTTGAAACACCCGCCTCGGCGCGCCCGTAGATGTCTGCCATGGAATATTACCGTATACTCTTGCTGGGAGAATACATGTGTGTGTTGGCTTTGCTGGGTCGTGACACTCGTGCAGAGAGGAACAAGAAGGCAACGGGCCTGCACTGGCGGGTAACAACAACATTGATGAGCAATTGACAAAGATTTGACAACTCGATACATGAGCAACCAACCAATACGACAAGCACGACGACGACAAATCCTACCAGCCCTGAGGGTACCGCCTCTTCCAAAACAGTATCTTCTCCATCATCATTGTCTTCCCGTGGTCATGGGACCCCCTCGCGAGGGGCTGGAGCGTCCACGATGCTCCCAGGGACGGGTTCAGCATGGTCAACAACTAGTCCATTACAGCATTCAGCATGGCGCAACATAGCCCACATTTTGCCGCACTGTCTGACAACCTGGGGGCAAGTCGGTTACCAAACGGCGAAGCAGTCGACGCACCAAACGCGCGCCAACTGCGAGCCGCGCCAAACGCGCGCTGACGATGCAAACGCCAGTACAGTGGAGACGTCAGTTTACGATCCGTGGGCGCAGCTGGACTCCTGAGGCCGTCGTTCTGGCCACGTCGCCACATTCGACAACGCGCCAAGCGGCCGACGTGCGGAGTGAAGGGAAATAACCTCATGCCCGTGAGAATAAACACTAGGGGATAATAAAGTTCGGGGTTCAGGGAGAGATAATAAAAGTAGCCCAGCAGACCTCAGCATAATCTCGAAGTAAGAGATGATCAAGAGGAGACCAAGCCGAGCACGTTTTGAGACATCCTTGGCGTTTAGTTGTCGTAGAAATATCCTCAACAATGGCTTATCTCGCTGGAGACATCCTCGACACATCCCTTGTTTCGCTTGAGACATCCGCAAATTATTGCTTATTTCGCTTGAGACACAGTCAAACTATTGCTTATTTCGCTTGAGACATCCTCGAAATAATTGTGTTTTTCGCTTGTAACGTCCTCAAGCTATATATAAAAAAGAAAAATAAAAATAATAAATAATAAAATAAAAGAAATGATAGGAGGAGGAGAAGGAGGAAAAGAAGAAAAAATCTCGAGTTTCAAATCTATTAGATTTTATTTACAAACGCTTTATGACAATTGTTTTTGTAAGTGCTCGTGTAGGGTAGCTCATGTGCCTCAATTTCCATGGATAATCAACCCCAGAGATAAAAAAGTTCAGGCGAGCGTGGGGACAGAGAGAAATATAAAAGAAGAAGAATACAGTAGAATAATAATAAGAAAGAATAAGAGGATAATAAGAAGAGGACGAAGAAAAGAAACATCCAAAGTTCCAAAACTATCAATTTTAATATACAAACGCTTTATGAACATTGATTTTTTTTAAGTGCTCGTGTAGGTAGCTCATGTGCTTCATTTTTCATGGATAATCAACCCCAGGGATAAAAAAGTTCAGGCGAGCGTGAGGACAGATAGAAATATAAAGTAAGAAGAGGAAAGTAGAAGAATAATAAGAAGAGAAGAAGAAAATAATAAGAAGAAGAGAAGAAGAACGGAAAAATGGAAAGTTCAAAATCTGTCAATTTTAATTTACAAACGCTTTATGAAAATTGATTTTTTAAAGTGCTCATGTAGGGTAGCTCATGTGCTCCCCTTTCCATGGATAATCAACCCCAGAGATAAAAAAAGTTCAGGCGCGCGCGGGCATATATACATATATAAAAAGGAAGATAATAAAAAAATATAAATAAAAAGAAAAAACTTGCTGGTTTAGCTTGAAACATCCTTGAGACATCCTTGAAAAATTGCTCGTTTCGTTTGAGTCTGCCTCCCAAACTTATTGGTTTCGCTTGACACATCCTGAAAAAGTGTGATCGCTTCGCTTGACGTTGCTATATCAACATCGCTTGATGTTGCTATCTCAACATAGCGTTTCGAGGTGATAATGAAGTTCGGCCTCAGCGCTCGCCGCCCAATTTGAATTTTGTATAGGGCGACGATAATCAACTCTAAACACTGAAGGGGGGGGGTCCCTTTCTTATCATCGGCATGCGGTTAGAGGATGAGGAGGAGGAGGAAGGCAGAGGAAGAAGAGGAGGGCCCGATCAAGTAGTTATATCACAACGTTCTCATCGTATCGTGCAAATTCACCCAGAATGGACCTAGGTGACAAACAAGCTTGCACGACCGCATCACTCAAAAATATGCCACTGCGGTAGAGGCGTTCTTGGGACTGGCACCGAGACCAAGCCCGTCAATCGAGAGCAAACTGATTATTTTATGGCACTTCAGACTGGGCTCAGCTGCGGCCGTGTGGTCGTCCAATCCCAGAATCCCGCCCACAGGGTAGCCTGCAAATTTCAGGTTGCGGACGAAAAAGTTCAGGTAGACGATGCCACTCTTAGTGTGGCCCTGGACCACTTTCAGCTCCACCTGGCCGTATCGCAGCCAACGCCGGGACTCCTTCTCAGCGACATGGCCGGCGCTGAAGGCGCGGCCCTGGGAGCCGACCCATCTTCCCGTCAGGTTCACCGACTGGAAGTACATGTCAGCGCACGCCGCGCCCATCTGCCGCGCCTCCGCATCGACGCTCAGCAAGGCGGCCCCGCGCTTGGCACCCCTGGGAACCCGCAACAACGTGTGCCATCCCTCCTTGCGGAGGTCGAACCTCTGCCCGAGCACGTTGGCGAGGTGAGGGTCCCCAGTCGCCTGCGCCGACCCACCGGCCGCACCGGCGCGCGGCGAGTCTGGCGTCGGGCTCGGCGTCGGGTTCGGCGTCGGGTCGGGCGTTGGGAAAGCCGTCGGGTAGGGAGTCGGGAAGGCCGTCGGGTGGGGCGTCGGGTATGGCGTCGGGTATGGCGTCGGGTATGGCGTCGGGTAGGGCGTCGGGTATGGCGTCGGGTAGGGCGTCGGGTAGCGCGTCGGGTATGGCGTCGGGTAGGGCGTCGGGTATGGCGTCGGGTATGGCGTCGGGTAGGGCGTCGGGGAGGCTGTTTTGACCGTCACGGTATGCGACCCAGTTGCTGTGAAAGTATGAATTTGGTAGCCATTCCTCGTTGTGACTGTGCCACCTTGGAGCAACTGGGTGGAACTCATGTACCTGATGATTACGATGCCGGACCCTCCATTGCCAGCCAAAGAAGATTCAGGATCCGTGCCGCCGCCACCACCGCCAGTGTTTGCCTGTCCGTGTCCGCCATTGAAATAAGCGCCCGAACCATAGCCAAGACTGCTGCCACTGCCGCCACCCCCGAGGCCGCCAGCCCCTCCTGGATAACTGGAACAATAACAGTTTGCGTTGACGCCACCGCCACCGCCTCCGCCGTAATACGTAGAGTAGCCTGAGATTGACGACGCCACTCCAACGCCACCATCTCCCCCGACATTCTTTCGGGGTGCGTTGCTCCCAACGCCGCCCGCACCGCCGCCGCCACCGCCTGCGCCGTATCCCCCCCTGTCGCTCCGCCCACCACGGTTGCCTTGTCCCGCGACCCCAGCCGCGTAGGCAACGTAAGGCAGATCCCAGGCGCCTCCACCGCCTGAGCCCCCGCTGTACGCAGTCCTGGAACTGCCCCCCGCACCCCGACCGCCGCCATATGCCCTCAGAGAGCCGATCGAAGAAGAACCTCCGCTCGTTGCCTCCGCAGAAGCCCCATACCCATGCCCCCCCGCACCTCCGCTACCGCCTGCGCCAACCGTGATGACTGCGCTGCCAAATATGACCAAGCCCGTCCCTCGGAGCACACCGCCGGCGCCGCCGCCCCCAGAAGCGCCGCCACCGCCGCCGCCGACAATCAGGTATTCCACTGTCAGAGTCGACTGCGCCGCCTGCTTCTCCCAGGTGGCATTTACGTAAGTGGCGATCGCCGCGGGAGGTTCGGCCTTGTCGAGGTGCAAGGCTCCTGCGCAGCCTAGCAAGAGAAACAGCGCCGAGGTGCCCGACGGCTTCATGGCACCGAGACGGAGGGTTCTGTGAGATGCTGAAGCACGCAAACGTGCGCCACAAAAGGCTTCAGGTATACATAATAAATACGCACGGACACAAGAAGCCGCCATCCCACTCCAGAGATCCCGACAATCCCTCCTCCATCCTCCCTCCTCTCTAATCCCTCCTCCCTCCTCCCTCCCCCTTCCCCCCTCCTCCTCCTCCCTCCTCCCTCGTCCCTCGTCCCTCGTCCCTCGTCCCTCCTCCCTCCACCCTCCTCCCTCGTCCCTCGTCCCTCGTCCCTCGTCCCTCGTCCCTCGTCCCTCGTCCCTCGTCCCTCGTGCCTCGTGCCTCGTGCCTCGTGCCTCCTGCCTCCTCCCTCCTCCCTCCTGGAGCACATCCCTCCTCCTTCCTCCCTCCCCCCTCCTCCCTCCTCCCCCCCTCCTGGCTCCCTCCTCCCTCCTCCCTCCTAGCGCCTCCCTCCTCCTTCCTCCCTGCTCCCTCCTTCCGCCTCCCTTCCTCCCTTCTCCCGCTGCCCCACCCGTTCCCGCCAAAAACTTCGCACGTGTGTCACAAAAGGCTCAAGGCATACATGATGGAGACGGACACAAGAAACGGCCATCCCACTCCAGAGATCCCGATCAATCCCTTAAGGGATGCTATATAATCCCTAAGGGATGCTATAGAATCCCTACGGGAAGGCTGCAAAATCCTTAAGGGATGCTATAGAATCCCTAAAGGATGCTGTAGGATACTGCAGGGATGCTATAGAATCCCTGAGGGCTGCTACAGAATCCCTAAGGGATGCTATAGAATCCCAAAGGGATGCAATGTAATCCTCAAGGGATGCTATGGGATCCCTAAGGGATGCCACAGAATCCCTAAGGGGAGGCAGCAAAAAACCCGAAGGAATGATACAGAAACCCGAAGGGGAGGCTGCAGAAACCCTAAGGGGTGCTATAGAATCCCTAAGGGATGCTATAAAAACCCACAGGGATACTATAGAATCCCTAGCTGCTGCCATAGAGTCCCTCGGGGATACTATAGAATCCCTAAGGGCTGCCATAGAATCCCTTAGGGCTAATCCCTTAGGGCTGCCATAGAATCCCGAAGGGCTGCCATCGAATCCCTAAGGGATGCTATAGCAACCCTAAAGGATGTTATAGAATGCGCGAGGGAAGGCTGCCGAACCCCTAAGGGATGCTCTAGAACCCCTAAGGAATGCTATAGAATCCCTAAAGGGATGCCATATCATCTTCAAGGGATGCGACATAACCCCTAAGGAGAGGCTGCGGAACACCTAAGGAATGCTATATAATCCCAAAAGGGATGCTGTATAATCAATGATGGAGGCTATAGAATCCTGATGGGATGTTATATAATCCTGAGAGGGATGCTGTAGAATCAAGGAGGGATGCTATAGAATCCTCAAGGGGATGCTATATAATCTCTCAGGGATGTTCATAATCAATGAGGGAGGTTATATAATCCCTAAGAGGTGCCATAAAATCCCTGAGGGTTGCTATAAAATCCTTGAAGGATGCTGTATCATCCGTCGAATCCTTAAGGGGATGCTATAGAATCCTTAAGGGGATGCTATTGAATTCTTTAAAGGATGCTATAAGAGCCTTGAGGGATGCTACAGAGTCCCTGAGGGATGCGATAGAATCTTGGAGGGGTGCTACAAATTCCATAAAGGGCTGCTATTGAATCCCGAAGGGATACTATAGAATCCCCAAGGGATACTATAGATCCCTAAGGGATGCCATAGAATCCCCATGGGTCCCGGCGTGTTGCCCCGCGTCCCTCAGTGGCCTGCCACACAGGGGGGAGGCGCATGCCCAAATGGCTTGAACCACAAATGAAGAGAGGGAAAAGAGCGTGCCCACGTCAGCCGCAAGGCCACCAGAGCCACGGGAGTCAAATCCGCCGCCGTGCATCCTGCACGGCAGAGGCGCGTTAGAAGCTGGGCCGGCACGGGAACGAAAAGAGCTCCATGTGGTGCCAGGGCAACGATCCTCGATACACGTGTGCCGAAATGATGTTTCGGTGTGGCTCCGTGTGGGGCCAGGGCCACGATCCTCGAGAGGGGTGTGCCGAAATGAAGCTTCGGTGGGCCCCCTTGTGGGGACTGTGCCACGATCCTCGAAAGGGGTGTGCCGAAATGATGTGTCGGTGGAGTTCCCTGTGGGACCAGGGCGACGATCCTCGAGAGGGGTGTGCCGAAATGAACCTTCGGTGGAGATCCCTGTGCGGCCAGGGCCGCGATCCTCGAGAGGGGGCGTGCCGAAATTAAGCGTGGGTGGAGCTCCCTGTGGGGCCAGGGCCACGATCATCCTTGAGGGGCGTGCCGGCATGAAGCTTCGCGAGCAGAGCGCCACGAACTCCTCCAGCACCCTGCGGCACTGCGACTCCGTGTTGGGGCGCGCCGCCATGGTCTCCAGCGCGCCGCGCTGCCCCAGGGGCGGCCGCTCGGCCAGCAGGCGCCTGGCGAGGGCCGCGCGGCGCTCCCGCGCCTCCGATGCCGCCAGCGCCGGGCGCCGCGCGGGCCTCCACAAGTCCCGCGGCTGCCCGGCCGCCAGCCGCCGCCGCGCCAGCATGCGGGGCGGCCTGCCGCGGGGGCCGAGGGCGGCCGGTAGAGTCTGAAAACCAGGAGCGCCGCCCTCGAGACAGAGCGTCGGCGGGGTTGCGTTCTGACGGAATCCATATGCAGTGCAATCTCGTTCCCGTTGCAAGTGACATCATACATATGTTCAGAAGCGGGAGGCGCAAATAGGTAGAGGCCGCTCTCCCCTTCGCCACGGCTAGACACAATGGCATGTTATCCACGAGGGCGAGCACGCGCTTCCCACGACATGCCGAGGATCTCAAGAGATGCTTATGGGCAACAACCAAGGCGTCGGCCTCCAGACCCAAGATGCCCCGGCCCTCCTGGACCTGCGCGGCCACTACTCCTCGCCAAGATTTCGCGTCCAGTAAACCAGCTGGGACCTCGTCGAAGTCCTTCGACCTCTTGCCCAAGCCCAAAATCAGCGGTTCCTCCGAGACGCCGAACGTGCCGAGGTCATGGAAGGGGTCCTTCACGGGGCTCGTCGGGCTCTGGGAGATCTCCAAGGGCTCCTTCGTGGCCACGCTGAAGTGCGGGGCGTCGTCCAGCGTGCCTGGCGACGCCGTCGTAGGTATGGCCCTCAAAGCTCCATTCAGCGGATCGCCAGGCTGCAAGAGAGCGGATGTACGAAAATAATGGTTATTCTGCATGGGCGACGATTCGGCGATGCAAGCGGGCGCAGAAGGAGGGAGGAGGGCTCTGTCTCTGGCGCGCGCCCCTCCCTCGACTTTGCATCGCCACCGCTCGCGCTGACGCCCGCAGCGGGCGATGAGGTCACTCGGAGCCTGCAGGCGGCGCACCCCGAGACCCTCTTCACTCGCGTCGCTGGCCACCGGCCGCGAAGCCCAAGGCGCCGCCAGGTCGGCGACCAGCAACGGCAGCATACAGAGGGCGCGCCACGGCTCCGCGCGGACCGCGGGCCGCAGCGACTGCACCTCCGCGCCCGCGGCTGCCGCGAAGGCGTAGGTGGCGCTGAGAATCCCGAGCGCCTCGCGCCTCGCCATCGAGGCCCAGGTCAGGTGGCCGACCACGACGCGCACCAGGTGGCCCGATGCGCGCCCGCGCCGCAGCAGCTCCTCGATGGCGAACCTGAGCCGCCAGACGGACCGCCCCTTGACGGCGAGCCAGCGACCGCGCCGCAGCTCCATGCCCAAGAAACTGCAGGACTCCGCAGCC